CAAGGTGGTAATGCCACTTGGACACACAAAATTACCGAGAATAAGACTTTAGTGAGGAAAAGTAAAGAAAGGACAATATAAGGATAGGGTTCTGGAAGACAGAAGATGGTGATTGACATTGCATTTAAATTTTTGAAGATTTTTAGGTGGCCAGGAAGCAAGAAATCGTAGGGTAGGTGAGAAATGCAAGAAAAAAAAAGAGGTGGGGGGCTGTTGGAATAGAAGTGACAGTTGCATCTAGCTATTTCAACAGTAAAGTGGTGAAACATAGTTGCCAATCTAGTAGCATACTTAAATTGATGTAGTTGAGCCATTAAGGATAAAAGCTCATCTGAACAATTGCCATAAGAATATTTATAGAAAAGACAGAGAGAAGTCATGTAAGAAAGTGACTGAAGTTGAAGATGCCAGATCAGGATTGATTACATTACAGATCTGAAAATAATATAATGGTAATATTTCTCTTAGGAAAGCAAAACTGCATTTTTTTTATTTATATTATTTACACCATGTTAAAATAGGTTTGTGGATTAAAGAGTTGGTTTGAGAATTTCCCGACATAGCAATTATGAGCTAAATCCCTTGGCTGGCTAGTGTATAGTGGAAACAGGCGAGTAATAATTGAGCAGTAATAAATAAGAATTAGACAATATCCCTGAACATGGGCAGTAGAATGAGAACAATCCATTTCTGTAGATTAAATAAATGATTCAGTTTAAAGTTTCCTAAAGGTTACCTGGACTGATAAGCAATTGCTGAAAGGAAAAGTGCACATCCTCTAAAACATGATAACAAAGATGGGGACAATAGTCTGCATGTAAATATTAATAACTCCTATTTCCAGAAATTCAGACAGAAATTGATTGTTTTTTCCATGCCTGCTCATGTATCTCATAGATTCCTATTTTCTCATATTTGATTGAAAAAGCAATCATCACAAGAAATGATGTGAGTATAAATGTGGCCCCCAAAGCAGTTGTTAAATTTTGAGTATCTATGACTAAGTCGTATGCATACCAATCTATCAATGAATACCATCTGCTTTCTCAGTTTGTACATTTGATGACTGTGATAGCATGCATTGTTTATAATAAAAAATAGTTTTTAAAAATACAATCTACTCTAATATCTAAATATTTTATTATAAGAATTTTACAGAAGATAGGAATACACTAAAATATATATTGGGAATAAAAAGTATTGAGTTGGATTTTTGCCATTTGTTTACAGTCTTCTTACAATTCTTATCCTTGTACATGACCCAAAATTTTGATGAATTTCACAATGTAAAAATTGACCTACTCTAACACTTAAAACAGTTGACTCACCTTTAAAACAATTCCTGAAGACTGATAAGTCCAACATTAACTTTTTGTACAGAATTACAATGTTTTAGATAACACCTCATGTATATTACAATATTTTAGTGTGGCTGTCAAGGATGTACATGAACTACTCAAAAAACCTGTTAACTTTCTTGTTTGAGTCAATTTATTCTACAAAGAAATGCTCACCAAAATTGCAAGTGGGTGAAATTTCACAACAAATAACAAATTACATTTTTGCAAAAAAAATCATTAACAATTTAAAAGTTTCTGTCATTTGCATATGTTTTCTCTCTCATATTATATATATATATAAGGTATAAAAGAAAAGAGAAAAGTTGAAGTCAATTATGACAATAATAATTATTCATGCTGAGAAATTTCTGAAAAGAAAGAATTTGGTGAATATAACTTTCTCATATTCAGATTTGCATTAGTACCAAAAATTAAAGATTACTCAAATATTTATTCAATACTAATAAAAAAAATACCATCAACAAGTTCAAACTAGCACATCCAAACAGATACTCAGTTTTGCAAATTCCTGATTAAGTACTAGTAGCAGACTAACATTTAGAACTGTTAAAAGGAAGATCTTGTAGAGAAAAAGTTGTAAAATGTAATAGACACTATTAACAAATCTGAGTTCCAAAATTTTAAAATTCAGAATTTAAACAATTATCATTGTATTTTCCTTTTTTTTAAATATAGAATATTCTTCAGTGTCACCTTCATTTATTTGCACTCATTTTTCTTTCAGAGTTTCAACAAATGACACAAAATCAGATACTGATAATTACATGACCATTATCAAAGACCATTTCAGAATGACTTCTTAAAATAATTTTTGTTTATTCTATTATTCATTAAAAAGATTAAAACATACTTCTGTTAATTCATATAATGAGTTAAAGTTTAAAAAATACCTTTATGGATATTTTAGCCTTTTTTGAAAGTGGGTCTTACTAAATAAAAATTTTCTCCAATGTCTTTGAGTCTTACATTTAGGTCTTGTAAAATTTAATTACGTTAAATGCACAGAAAGAGAAAAGAGAGTAACAAGACATGGCTCTCCATGACTTACTATTTTTTTGGGAACTAGTAGTAGAGTTATTTTTTAAAATGTCATCTTTTAAGAAATACTTGAAGATTAATGTTTTCAAATTTTACAATTCCTTTTAAATAAAATTTTAGAGATGATTTAAAAAAAAATTATAATAGTAAGTGATCTAATCCTGGGAAAATATTTTCATCTAAAAGAAATATAAACTCTAACAAAACTAATTTAATTCAAATCCTCCTAAAGAGAGTTTTTTTTTTTTTTTAATTGAAGAGGTTGCCTTCAGTTTTAAACAGTGATTTAAGTTTGCCTTCTACTCTTTAGCACATGAAACTTCTGATTAACATAGTTCTTATTACCATAGTAATTAAAGACTAGTACAAAATATGATGGGAAAAAATTAATCTTGACTTTAAGAAATTAGTTCCAACCAAACACCTGAAAATTCAATGACTTGAGAGAAAATGTAAATGTGATCTCCCTACAGCTATCAGGATATAATTAAAAAAATTAATGTTTATTACCATAAATCTTAAGAAACATTCAAATAGGCAATTAACATATTAAGAATTTTAGGAAAATTATAACAGTAAAGATACAATCAAAAATATTTTATGATTAAATGGTTTGAAGTCAGTGAAATCAACTGTGAAGAAATATAATGTGCCATACTGTGTCAATGATTTCATTAGTTTCCTCAAACAAATCTAAGAATTTGCCCAGGAAATCACAAAAAATCAAAAAGACATTGACTTTAATGAAGTAGATGATGAAACTTTCAAATAATGAATAAGATCACACTTAGAGATATCAGAAAGTATTGAGTCTTAAAATAGTTAATCAAAGTTCCAGTGCGTGGGCATTTCTTTTCAGCATGAGATAGGAAAGTTAATGGGGACTTCTAGGACACATGATCATTGGTGATGAGACTTGGATGCATCATGTTACCCCAGAAACAAGACTGATCTCCATTCTACAAAGAAATTCCAAGTTCAGCAAAGAAATGGCATTATTCTGGGGTGCAAAATGTATGTTGATGGTGAAATTGACAATTAATGTGAAATACTGAACAGACTGAAAGAAACTGTTTGTCAAAAGTGACTTGGATGTTTGCTTAAGAATATCATCTTGCTGCATGACAATTCCATGCTACACCTGCCCAACCCAACAAAAGAGTGCCTCCAGTAACATGGAATGTTTTAACACAGTTCTGATTTGTATTCTTCGAATTATCATCTATTTGGGTCCCTCAGATTACAGTTATCAAGAAAGTGTTTCCACAGAGTTTATGGTTTTGATGAAAGAATGCACTAGTAGCTTGACATTACATTCTTTGAGGAGGATATGAATGCACTCATACACTAATAAACAAGTGCATCAATTTCTATGGTGATCACATGAAAAAGCAGTCGCATAGTACTGCTAATAACACACATAATGTTTTATTTGTACAGTAATAAACATTGAATAAAGTAATGTTTGTACTTTACTTTTACTTTATGGCATGTTTGAACATCTCTTGTAATTATGAAACATTTTTAATTAACCTTTGCTCTTGTCTATTGAAAATCATTGTTAATATTTAAAAAATAAAATCAAGTTTAGGAATAATTACAATATTTTACATTAAACTTAGGTTTTATGAATATGGTTTTAATTAGTATAACATAAGCTATCAAACATTCTCACACAGTCAAAAGGATGGTTTTTCCCATTACACTGCTTTTTTTTAACTACTGTATATACTTGCAGATAGGTTGCACTTTTTTTACCAGAAATTTCACAGAAATTGTGTCAAAATATTTGGAAGTGGTACAGATTGAGGGTAGACAATTTTTTAAAAAAATCTCATCTTGGTTGAACTGGGAACTTTTCACATCCCTTTGTATGCATCTTTTGCTAGTTATCTGGATTATATTTTGTGTGCAATATTTTATTTTTTTTAAATTGTATTAAAATTTTTTTTGAGATTGTTAAATATTAAGACTATAAAAGCAGAACATATACATGAATGGGAACTTTGTTTATCACTCACCAAAAATTCATCATTTTTTTTAATTTTGAAGAAAATGAAATTATTATTAAATAAATATAGTTCAGTAAAGTTTAATTTCAGTTGTTAATTTTTATATATATTTACAATATTTAAAATAGTGTAAAGACAAAAAAATATTCCAAATAGTATTTCCTTCAATATATACATAGATCATTCAAAACTGGTAAATTTATGGAGATTATTAGATAAATGTTTTGACACATTGAACAGCATTAATTTTTAGTACTAAAGTTGCACAGAAAATTAAAACAGCGAAAATACAAAGTATTGGTAATTATATCAACAATTACTTCAAAAAACATTTCACATTAGTCTTGCATTTATCTAAAAAAAAAAAGAAAAGAAAAAAAAGAAAAAAGTTCAACTGTAAATTTTAAAAAATAGTTGTACAAGTAATGAATGTAGATAGGTTAAATCTTTCATCATTTTGACTGATTTTCTGATTTAAATCAAGAATATTTTCAGGCTCTTGGAAATTTTGACTGAAGAGAGCCCAACAAAACATTATCAGTATTTGACAAGAAGATATATATTTTGACTATTACTGTTTAATTTATTGTTAGACCAAGTTGGAAAATGCTGAATTGTAGTTTGGCCAAAATTCAGGATCCAGTAATGAAGCCTTTGTCTGGAAAATGTCCAGAAGTTGGCGGTTGATTGTTTCAAACCTAAAAGAAAAATTATTACTATTAAAAATAAGTGAAAAAATAAAAATAAAAAAGGAAGAACAATAGCAAACATTTTAGAATTTTTTTTTTTTTATTGCTGCAAGATTTGGGGCTTTTTTTTAAGTGTATGATTGTTTTGTCACAGTCAAACATTCACATTCATTTCATGCATGTAAAAACAAAACTTCTTCCAATAACAATATTTGTATCTTAATAAAATACTAGTTACAGGGATTGCAGTTACATACAATAAGATTGATTTTTAGAGAATGTAAACCCAGTTTTTTGTCACTGTCTACCTCATATCAAAATTTAGACAATCACAGAGATGTAAACCTTGGTGACAAACACAAATGAATATTCTTCCTCAATAACATTAAACATGGAAAGACTGACCGAAACAGCCCTATCATTATAGACCCAATTTTACACCCCACTAAACACCACATTAAAACAACAGGTCAACTGACTCATTCTAACCCACAAAGACCCAGCCCGGCAAAATACAAAATTGCAAAGCAAGAATTTCAGCACATACTACAGTTGGGAATAATTTGACCTTCCAAGAGCTAGTGGTCATCATTTTTGCATACAGTACTGAAATTAGTGGTGATTTTCAACAACTAAATGCCGTCCAAGATTGATACCCTACCCCAATTTTACTGTGGGATTACAGGGTATGCACATTTTCACCAAATTAGATTTAATTAAGATGTACAAAGAAAGTGATATATCCAAGAATGGTATCACCACACATTTAGGTTTATTCAAATTCATCAAGATGTTGTTTGGTTTAAGAAATGCAGCTCAGTCTTTTCAAAGGTTGATAGATAAAGTGTTAAGAGGTTGACTTTCTTACATTGACAACATGTTAATAGCAAGTAACAATATGGCTGAAAACATGGAACATCTCAACCTTGTTTTTGAATGCCTACAGCATTTTGGATTAAGAATTAATGTTAACAAATGCATATTTGGAGTGAAGAAACTTTCATTTTTATGAGGTGAAAGTGATGAAACAGGAATATCCCCTTTACATGAAAAGATAGCATCTATACAAAATTTCCCACAATCAGAATCAATTCAACTTCAAAGGGCATGATAAATTACTATCAAAGATTTTTGCCATATTGTTTAGCATTATTAGCCCCATTGACAGACAAAAAGCACTTGGAAAAAGAATGCAATGGTTTTACTTCAAGGTCCTGCTTCAGACATTTTTCATGAAGTAAAGTAAACCTTCGTAAACTTAAATTATCTCAGTGATGATGGGAATGAAGTACTAACTTTAACAACAGATGCTGCATCAAATGCTGTTGGTGCCATCTTACAACAAAATATTAATGGTGAAAACAAATCCATATCCTTTATGTCTCAAGCTGAATTCTTCACAAAGGAAATGCAGTACATTTGCATTAAAATAAAACTTTAATGCAAAAACACAAAGTCAGGAAACAAGAAAATCACCCTAATGTAAATTCCAGTGACCAAATGGTAAATTCACTCATTTGCATATCAACATTGTTGGGCCCCTTCCCAACGTACATAGTTTCACCTATATGCTCACCATAGTGAATAGTTTTAGTCGATGGTCTGTGGCTTTTCCTATTTTAAATACTTCTGCAGAGACTATTGCAAAAATTATACTGGATCAGTACATTTGATTACTACTGACAAAGGATCACAATTTCAATTTGTACTGTTCCAGGAATTTGTCAATCTACTTGGAGTTAAGCATATCCAAACGACTGCTTAGCATCCTTGTACCAATGGGATTGTAGAAAGGCTCTATAGACAGTGTTATGTTTTAAAAATTTCATCTGTAAATTTGTATCAAAACAAAATAATGTTGATAGACATACATAATTACAGAAAAATACCAATGTAAAGATTTAAAGAAAAAGATAAATATAAAAGCTCTTTATATAACAAAATATGGAATTGAAAATGTTATGGGGTTGGTATATGTTTTAGCTAGGTACCTATTTTTTGTTCTTTGGTATTTTAAAGAAAATGAGTTATGTTTTTTGCACTTGTGTTTGATGCCACATTGTCATTGTTAAGATAAATTAGAGTGACTCATTTCATATAGAAGCATTGGGAGCATTTTATCCTGTTTTAAATGATTAAATTTTGAGTTACTGAAATATTGAGTTTCCAGCATTATCTGGTACATGCATGTTTGACAATTTTATTCTTTTTAAAAATATTAGTAATTACTGCTGAATTTTTCTTTGGCTATTTTAAAATTTGACAGCAAGAGATAAAGGGTAGTAGCCATGTTCAAATTTTGTTAGCTTTCAGTAGAATGAAAACAAAGGTCCATTAGTAGCAGTGAAAAAGTAGTAGTCATGTTGATGAAGGGAACATCGCTTGCCTGCTGACCAAGACAAAAGGCTTAAGCAGCAGTAGTACTAGTAATATCTGTATTTTTTTCTGCAGGTGTTGAATATTATGAGGAAGTTTGCTAACTGGGTGTTCCATTTTGCATATTAGTATGTTGTATGGATATACATCTTTTAAACGTCAGGGTTACCAATTATGGAATTTAAAAGTTGTAGGTTCAATGTATATTATTGGCAGGTGTGTGTTCTCAATGTCTCTTAGGTATGTCCATTTTCTTTTTGATGCAAAAGTTACAGTAACTATAAGCATCATATTAATGGTCAAGCTAAAGTCAGCTTTGTGCAGAGTTGGAACATTCCAAAGAAAAGTTTGTACTTACTTTATCGTTGGAAGGCTTAAACATAGTTATAGTATGTCTGTTTTCTTTTTCTTGGTCCAAAGGTTAGGAAAGTAAGGATATGCATTGTTATAATGATTGAGCTCAAGTCAGTCTTGCGCTGAGTTGGAACAACCAAAGAAAAGGTTGATTTACTTCAGAGATGGAAGACATATACAAATGCCATGGGTTGGAAAGCAAGAAAGAGTTCAGACGTCAGCAGATGTTTCCAGTGTAGCACAAAATTTCCAGGTTGTGCTACACTTTAGAGTAAGGGAAACCTTGCTCCAAAGTGTAGCACAACCTGGAAAGAGGATCACAAAGGAAAAGATTTGTTTTTCTACAAACTTAACCAGTGCTACACAATGATGTTTGATGAAGCCAAGTGAGGTAATGATATTTCCGGTTCCATTACTGCTAGCATCATGGGAAAATGCATTTCTTTTTCTTTTTTTTATTATTCATTATTATTATATTTATTTATTGATTTAATTTTCTCCACAATAGTTATGAAAATGCTAATTATATGAAAAAAAATTAATTTACATATATTCTACTAGTTAAGCTTTATTTAAATAAGTTCCGTATTTTTATGGAATAAATTCCATTATCATTAATAAGTTTTGTCATTTCAAAATTACAGAAACCATAGAGAAGGAGAGTTTTAACCTTTGCTGTTGCAAGATAGGTAAGCAAAATTATTTTTATTGAATTGCTTCCCCTTAGTTCACGCTTTTTAACATATACATACGGATATTTTGTTTTTATGTCACATTGACAAAAGCACACACCATGAAATCAAAGTTTGTTTCAGTGTTTTCATTTCATATCAAATCTTTGAATTAAAAACAATTTTAAAGCATCCATTTTAAATATTTGGCAAAATGCAAACTTTAAATTATTCTCCTCAAATTCACAATTATCTATTCCATGTAAAGAAATAATATTTATTACTCAAATATCAAAACTGCTTTGTTAACTATAAATAGAACTTTAATGAAATTGTAGTTTACAGGAGTTATTTCAAGTAAGGAAAATTGATTAGTTAATAAAGAATTGTTAAGAATAGTTTGGAACTGTGTTACAATTTACTATTAGTTTGACACAAGGCTGCAAATATGGTTTACTATATGGTTACTCAGTAGTAATGGTCAACTGGACTAGTCTTGCTAGTCTAATTGATGTTTATATTAGTTGACTATACCAAATTCTTAATCTTTCTGGTCATATTAAACCATCTCCATTGCATATAAAACCCTTTTCTATAGTTATTTTATGCCTTATCCCTTTATAGGTCTCTCTTCCCCTGAACCATCAGCACATTTGTTTCTTTTTATTCTGTATGCAATTTTACTTAATACTGGATGCAGTAAGGTTTCAAAATGCAAGATGATTTAGAGGTAATACATCAGTTTCAAACCAGTACAATATTTTATCTTCTGAATTGTCTGATGCTTCTTATCATTCACTTTTGAATTTTGTGGAATAGCGTTTTCTTTTACATACTCACTGATGAAATCAAAGGCTATGAGCATAAAATTCTAGATGTGACTTTAGGTAACTCTAAAGGTTTATGGTCAGATTTCAACAGAAACTTTCTGCCTAATAAAAATTGGCGAGCTCTATCCGTGTTCCATACGATAGCATTTTTTAATGTTTAAAACACAATACGTTTTTTGTTTTAACTCTTCTTTACTAGAAGCACCGATGTATATATCATCTTGATAAATGATCATATTCTTAACATAACCAGTTAGTACATTTTCAATTGCTCTGAAAAATAACTCAGGTATTTTTTTTTTTTTTACACCATAAAACACATGATTTCATCTGAGTAAACCTATCATAGTGACTCCTTTAAATTTTTTATCAATTTCTTTATTTCCAATAAAGCTGGACATTTTTTCTTGTCCCATTCATGCTCTTTAGCGCAGTACTTGCATTGTATAAGGTAGTTCAATACGCTATATGCTTTGTCATTGCTCTTATCAATTTATTTTAAGTGTTGCAGAAACTTTACACACACATCTAAGGACATCAATTGTAATTGTTCTAAAATTTCTATTAATCTCAACTGTATTAATTTGTCTTCTATTGTCATTTCTCTAGTGCCAAGTTTTTCAAAGTCATAGAATCTGGAGGCCTCTTGTAACTTGTGTATGTACTGTATTATCATTTCATTCAGCTCTTGTTTGCTTGTGAGAAACTTTGCCCTCTCTGTGATAAGCAGGTTATTTGTGGTCACATGGCAAGTCGATTTTGCACATTTCACTACACT